TAATTTACATCATCTCTTGGTGCCGAATTAGCCAAATTAAGCGAACATGAATTGTACATTTAAAAACATAGCAGAAAATTATTTACTTTTTAAATTGTGGTCTTAAATACATTCTTCACTGTACAAGAATTGTTGGCTTCTTCAAACTCCTTAAAATGGTATAACCACTAACAGTTGCAGTTATCAAATATATTGTACCAATATAATAATGTATCATACAATTTTATGATCACAATTGTTTAGATACAATTTCATATCATATAGAAGCATGGAATTATTTTAGCACTAATGTTGTTAAAATATATTTTTCAGATGATGATTTGAAATATGTATCCCTTGTGATAGGCTTATTTTATATATGAATTCACATTCGAAATACATAGTAATGTAAACATAAAGCATATATTTGTTTTACTGAATGAAAGAACTACACAATATCAATTGATTGACCGACCTTTGTCTGGTAATCCTCAGGACTGAAAGGTTACTGATTCACGTTTTAGGAATACACAAGCTGACATAAATGCACAGGCACACATAATGTGACAACACATTTCAATTCTAAAACACCATTAGTCACGCCGAGACAGGTGCCATAGTTGTTGTCACCAACACCTGATTGCTCGAGTGGATGGATTGAAGCCTCGTTGTTGGTCACATTCTTAATGACCATAAAGACACTGGTATTCAGAGATGTATAGAACAGGTGTCGACTGCGGGGTATGTTCCAATCAGAATTGGGAATATTCCAAGAGAAGTCATTGGTTGTTTTGTTTGTTATTAAATCCCTTTGAGCTTCCCGCTCAATAAAGAGGAGGGTTACCAGACCGGACATCCACGAAGCAGATCCCTAACACCGCTTACTCATCTCCTCTCGATGGATGACATGGAACTCCTTGACAAAGGAGACGCCAATTTGAAAGAAGACGTTCTCCTTATCGAAAAAGGGGCGATGGGTTAGCCTGGTGGTTAAAGGGTTCGCTCGTCATGCCAAATACCATGGTCCGACTCCCACTATGGGTAAAAACCCATTTCTGGTGTCCCCCGCCGTGATATTGCTGGAATATTGCTAAATATGGCGTAAAGCTAAACTCACCCACTCTCTTTGCCGAGCCCTTTTCTAATGATATAGTATGACATTGGACTCGATGAGTGCAAAATTCTTCATCTGGTACGTAGTGAAACATTTATTAGCGAAGTTACATGGGCAGGAATTATTGAGCGTCTTGTTGAAGATCGGGAATACAACTATCTTGATCAAATATTACTCATTATCAAAAGTGTAGAAAGCAGAGGGGCGGTGGGGTAGCCTAGTGGTTAAAGCGTTGGTTCGTCACGCCGAAGACCCGGGTTCGAATCCTCACATGGGTACAATGTGTGAAGCTCATTTCTGGTGTCCCCCGCCGTGATGTTGCTGGAATATTGCTAAAAGCGGCGTAAAACTAAACTCAGTCAGTCAGTCAGTGTAGAAAGCTGACATTTCTACTTTCAAGCCTCAAACGTTTTCTTTACAGCATGTGAATAGTTTGACATTAGCTTTAGCTGCTATATGATAATGTAACTATCACACAGCATATGCTACAAGAAAATGGTGCGGCCAGATGTATGTCATAGGCCATAAAATATGTCACCTGTCATATCACCTTCTGAAGCTTCAAACTGATCGTACTGGAGGGCGGTATTCTCATTATGATATGTAGGTCTGGATCTAACAGGAACGGAGTGTACTATTATGGCGCTCCCAATTACATTTCAGCAGTGTCATAGTGAAGGTTAACAAACATTGCTTTCCTCTAGGAGAAATTCTCGTTGTGAATGCGAGCGAATTGTAATTGAAACGTTCTATATGTCAGTGAAGTGTTTGAGTGGACTGTGGGGAGAGGGAGGCTTTCCTCTAGGAGAAATTCTCGTTGTGAATGCGAGCGAATTGTAATTGAAACGTTCTATATGTCAGTGAAGTGTTTGAGTGGACTGTGGGGAGAGGGAGGCTTTCCTCTAGGAGAAATTCTCGTTGTGAATGTGAGCGAATTGTAATTGACACGTTCTATATGTCAGTGAAGTAGATACAGTAAGAATAATAGTTCAATTTAAACTAGTTTAGCAAATGATATATTTTAGAACTATTAAGTATATGACAGATTTGTGGACACATTTCATGGTACCGTGCAGTTTCCACATATCCCAAAATATAAATTAACTTTTGAGCGTGTGTTCCTCAGTCTTATTCGTAAATCCAGAGACTTCTTTATTGTTTTCTGTGTGTTCAAAGATGTAATAGTGATGCTTCAAACTGTAGCTGGGTGAGTGAGTGTGTGAAAAATTTAAAGTCACATCGGCAATATTTCAGCCATATCGTGACTAAAACAAGTTTAGAATTCACCATAAATACATGTAAATATTAAAACCTGTCATCGATGGGACAGTAAAACCGACTAGAATATGACAGTATCGAGAAATAACACTAGCATCTCTCTCTAAAATTTGATTTTAAATCAGGACAATACAGTATAAAAATGGGCTATTGATCGCCAACAACTGAAGGTAGATCACCATACTAGGAGATTCGTTCTGGTTAAGATAGGATTGTTGGTGACTATTGGTGAGGAGAGGACTATTGGTGATGCAGTTGTCTAAGACTCTTACGCTCATACGCTCTGGGCAAATGTCAGGTCCATGAAATAACACACACATTCATTATCAATGACATGTATTTTTGCTGAGCTTATTAACACGCTAGAAAACTTAGACACTCATTTCTTTGCAAGAATACATGTACATGTTTTTTGTGTGAACAATCAGTATATATGTGTCAGTTGTTCATGCAGTAACTGCCTACTTCTCCAAAACATCAACTTTTACCACTCTTCTATGCAAACAAGATCCGTTTAGCCATTTATGCTAACTGTAACAATCAGCTATTTTCATCACTGACACATCGTCTCCGTCTCAAATGCTGTGTGTAATGATAACCTTGCCAGAGGGTTGATAGCTTTCCAGACCAGACATCCACAATTTGGCTGTTTCCGTCATCTCCAGTTCGTATTGTCGATCAAATTCTTCACTCTGAGCCACTGTGAACCAGTTCTTCCAGTCGCCAACTTTACCTGTAAGAAGACATTGTACAAATATCTGAATGTGTTTCACCAGAGGGATTTGATATGACAGAATGACCGTTGTACACTGATCTCATGTACCCAAACAGTGTGTGAAATAGCCACGTGCACTGGCCCGCTAGCCCGTGGCTAGCAAAAAAAGGAGGGCAAGTAAATCTCTATCGTCACTGGCTCGACTGGCTAGTGAATTTTCACGGGGCCATTTTGAAAATATATTTCTCTCTCCGACTTGTTAAGTTTTAACACACTTTTAAATCATGCAAGATTGTGGCATGATAAAATGCCCATCGTATTAGCAGCTTATTGGTGAAAGCAGTGTCTACATTTAAATTTCGGACTAGTGAATTATTTTGTGGGTTAGTACTTTCAGGCATAGCTACCCCGACTGGCTAGCAAACTATTTCGCACATTGTACCCAAGTGATACACAAGTTCTTGAAAGACATTTGGAAGTGGACCAACATGAATAATACCACACATTTCAAGGAAAACAGCCTCATTATTCTTTATCACAGCTATTCTTGCGCCTTCATCAGGTGAGTGAATTATTCATCTGACGAAGCAGCAAGAATTAGCTCTGAAAGGTCGTGATACGGAATAGAACTAGTTATCCATAAAACTTGTAATGTATCCAAATCATATAGCTGACAAAATACATCACATTAAACAAAACAGGTGTGCCATGATCTGTGACATGTAACTAGGACTGGAGCGGCCCTGATTTAATTATCCCCCGCGAAGCGGGTTATATAGTATTAGGCTCCGTCCGTCCGCCGTCCGTCCGTCCGTACGAATTGGAATATCTTAAGAACGGTTGACTAGATTCTTTTCATATTTGGTACCTAGGTTCATAACAGTATCAGAAAGGTCCCAGTCAGGTTTGGTGACTTTGACCTTAAGGTCACAAGGGGGCTTTAGCGTTTTACTCTTGTCAGCGAGATATCTCAAGAACCGTTAACTAGATTTTCTTCATATTCAACACCAAGTTTTATCTAGGCAAGGCACAGGGCCCAGTGGATTGTGTGGATGGTGACCTTCCCATAGTTTTCAAGGTTATGGCGACACTTTGAAGATTTCAGCATATTAACCTGCATGTTTACTTCTCAGCAAGATACCTCAAGAACCGTTTACTGGATTTTCTTCGTACTCGACACCACGCTTTATCCAGGGAAGGTGCAAGGCCCAGTCGATTTCGATGACCTTCACTTAAGTTTCAAGGTCACAGCGACACTTTGAAGATATCAGTGTGTTAACCTGCATGTTAAGATGGTCAGAGAGAAATCTCAAGAACCATTCCCTGGACTTTCTTCATACTTGACACCACGCTTCATCTAGGGAAAGTGCAAGGCCCAGTCTATTTCGGTGACCTTCACTTGATTGTCAAAGTCACAAAGACACTTTGAAGATTTCACCATGTTAAAATGCATGTTAAGATATTCAGCAAGATATCGCAAAACCATTAAATGGATTATTTTCATATTTGACACCATGCTTAATCTAATGAAGGCGCAGGGCCCAGTCAATTTTGGTGACCTTCACATAATTTTCAAGATCACTGCGACACTTTGAAGATTTCAGCATGTTAACCTGAATTCACTTGATTTTCTTCATAGACTTTCAAGACTTCCCTTGAATGTTTTTCAATAAGCAATTTCTTTAGTACCATTTTTGCATATTTCATACACTATGATATTCATGTCAAGGTCAAAGTCAGTGATGCAAACATTTGTGTGTTTCAACAACTAAAGAGCAAGATATCAAGAGAGGTTGACTGGTCATGTTTTTGGTTGACATTTAACTTCATCTTAAACTTTCATTACCTTTCAAGTTTGATTTGATAATTTGCGGCGGGGGATTATGTCACCTAAGTGACAATGCTTGTTCTGATCTACGTTCTCTTTGAGCCGATTGAAGTTGCTGATTGGAAACAAAATGTTGAGGAAAACATTAGCTGAAAGGCAAAATGTGAATATGTTCCTGGATTCTCAAATCGACTTTTCCCATCACAATGGAATTAAGACGTCCTGGTGTGTTCATCTTGGCTGCTGGTCTGATCATTAGGGTAGCATGCTTGGGCAATTCCATATATTCTAGATATGACTTTGGTATGCTTCGTTTACTGATCATCTCTACATAAACTGCAAACCTCATGCTGCCACTCGGCCACCAGTTGTGTCATATATCACTGCGTTGATGTTCCGATTTATAACACTCACCTTTTCTGAAATATCCGCTTGATCCATCTTGCCAGGTGTTGTGATAGGTCTGATCTTTGTTTTTCTCACAGGCATTTTTCAGATTCTCAAAGGAGCAGGCATCAGCTATCTCCTGGTACGTTGTTTCAGGAAGTGGCCGATCGAGATATTCTGCTATTTTTCTTATTTGCGCGACACAATCCTTAAAGAGAAGACAAATGTACGCATAGCGTCAGAGTTCAGCTAACGTCCGATTGTGGGCAATATCAGTATAATGTGCATTTAGAAATTTCTGGAAATAATGAAATCAATAATATCCGAAAATAATCATTAAAACCAGTGGAATAGTGCTTGTCGTAAGAGGTGACTAACGGGATCGGATGGTCAGGCTCGCTGACCTGGTCGACACATGTCATCGTATCCCAGTTGCGTAGATCGATGCTCATGCTGTTGATCACTGGATTGTTTGATTCAGACCCGATTAGTTACAGGCCGCCAGCATAAAGCTGGGAGTGCAGCGTCAAAGAATAAACCAACACATACCTGCTTCATGTCTTCGTACTGCACACTGCATATTTCAAATCCTTGATGGACATCAGAAACGTTTTCCCATCCCTTAACATGGTCAAATATCGACCCATGCGGAACTGAAAAATATAGAAAGTAAGTCAAAGCCATGACAGAGACATGTAGAGTGACATCAAATGTGTATATTGAATATGTCGGCAATATTCCAGCCAAATAAGACGAGGACAATTTATGCATTAAAAATGAATAATTCAATATACCAACACCTCTAGGCGTTGGGCAGTAAATCTATTAGACTATCACTGATATAAAGTAAAACTAACATGCTTTCATTAAAGGACAGCATTGAAGTGAAAAAAACAATATAAAAAACTGTAGATTGCCAACAACAGAATGTAGATTAACACCACCCGATGTTGGCGATGAAGGCAAATTTAGTTTTACGCCGCACTCAGCCATATTCAAGATATATGGCGGCATTCTGTGCATAATCGGGTCTGAATCAAACAATCCAGGGATCAACATCATGAGCATCAATAGACGCAATGGGGATAAAATGACATGTGTCGACCGAATCAGCGAGCCTGACCACCCGATCCCATTAGTTGCCTCTTACTGAAAACATGGGTTGCTGATGATCTATTTCTATCCCGGATCTTCAAGGGTCCAGGTATTAAAAGAACAAATATATTACGATTAAAAATCTGGTAACCTTAAATTTACTTTGAATGTTTTAGGTCTTACCTACTCTCACCGGAGTTAAAGATATGATGCGAATTAAAGACATTAACGATACAATGTTCCAGACGATTCTTTGGCGTTTGATTGGCTTACAAATCAGCTTTATTAGGAAACACCCTTTAAGGGACTACGGTTTCATGATTGGTTGAGAGCTGAACAGACGTCAATTGTTTTGCGTTATTATATTGAACGATATCATACAATTATTTAATAAAGGCGTGATGGTGATTGTAAACGTTTATGATCATTGACGTAATTATTCATACAAAATTTTGCATTAGTGATTGTGTTTATGTAGTTTATGAAAGCTATCCGAGCGTTACAAACTGGATTGTACAAAAAACTATTTATACTTTCACACCCATCATTTTCAAAGGAAGAAAATCAATCATGTAAGTTCATCAGATGAAATGTTCAGGCCATTAATCTATTAACAATGGGAAAACGCCGTGCACATGTACATGTAGTTTAAGTCTATTCAGGAGTAGTCAGTTCAAACCTTTCATGACATATACTGAAAGCCATTAAAAATGCAATTTGACATTCATACTTTCTTTACTCACACTAATTTCAACATATATAAACCTAACTGGCAGATATGTTTTAAGTGAACATCTGTGAATAATTCCATCTGGAAATGTCCAGTCAACAACAACATCAGTGACGCAACAACGACATCACGCAAAGGAGGGGTCACTTGCAGTCAATATCGTGTGTGTCCACCGTGCGCTGCAAGACATGCTCGCAGTCTTTGGGGCATTGAAAGACACACATTTCTCAGGAACAGCTGTTGGATGGTCTGCAGCCTGTGATGGTCTGTGGTCTGATCATGACACCACCCCGTCCAAAACGATCATGTTCAAGGACACAGTTTGGCGCAAGTCTTTCTCCTTTACGTCGATAAATCTGTTGACGTCCATCTGCAAAGGATAAGTTAAACCTGGATTCATCTGACAAAATTACATTTGGCCATGTCCTGTTGCCAAGATTGGCCCCATTTGCTGCCCATCGCTGTCTGGCAAGTCTGTGGCGATGCAATAAGGTTGGACCACGGTACGGGTGACGACACCGGATGTTGAAGGCAGCAAGGCGTCCTTGCACCTTTTGGGCGTTGGAATGATGTTGACTTGTCCCAATTGTCCTCCTTGCCTAATCATCAGCTGTTTGGAACCGATTTCGCAAGTGTGAACCTCGGATATTGCGGTTTTGTCGAGCTGTTATCACAGGTGGTGCACCAGGTCGCGGACGATCAGCAACACTTCCGGTAGCCCGAAAACGTTGTCTGAGTCGACTTACAGTGGATGGATGCACATTAAAGTGCCTGGCAATCATCACATCTGAAGCACCTTGGCTGACCATACCGATAACCTGATTCCTTTCGTCTTGTGTCAAGTGTGGCATTTTCTCAAAGTGATTGAGTTCCACAATTCCTTGTGCTTTTACAGGGCCTGGGTGCAGGTAATGCATGTGCACAACGTGTTTCATGAATGTGGTTGTGTTTACGATAAATGTCAAAGGTTCAGTTTTAAGTATCAAAGTTCATGTGAGAGGAATGCTCCGGGACTCAAACTCGAAATGGGCTAGAGTAACAGCCTTTTATCCCTACATCCTCTGTATCGCAGGAAAAAAATCTTCAATAGAACTTTTGTAAGTTTCAGGACAACAAATACCAATTGCGTTTTTAATGGCTTTCAGTATATATCATAACTCATGATTCCGAGAAGTAGTAAATGTTTTATTAACGTTTTCTTAAGTAGCACCACTGTTCTGATCCCCGGTCATGACACACTGAAGCAGAGTAAACATCATGTTTACAATAGGAGACAGATGACCCATTAACGCTATCGGTACCATGCAAATGAGTGTGAAAATGACATTTTTCATACCACAACCCTCCAAGAAAAACCCGAGGAACTCGTCCCAGGAGCCAGTGAAGGTCGCCTGCTGTGAGAGGCTGTCATAACGTACTTGTTGGCTCAACTGACAAAAGTATGACACCGCACAGTCTTTTGGGTTCCTATGGACGTACACCACTTTGCACCTTCGTTCCCATACCATCTCTGGCATCTGTCTGCAAATATCGGAAGCATGTATCATAATACATAGGTAACGCTTCAAGTATATTTCGAGTACAATATTTCACCTGACGAGTGCAATATAGGTTATCACGCGAGTGTGTTTTGGGATGGTTAATATCCTGCACTGTGACTATACATTGTATTTAGCGAGCCTTGGCTAAGTCTAAAATATTCAATAATATGTTGAACAAAAAATGAGCACGCTACAATGAACGACAAAACAGACATCTAGTACAATGCAGTTGAGTCACAAATCTATAATATTGGGTCACAAATATAGAATATTAACTCACCAGAGTCTTGACATTTACAGTGCGAGCAGATATACTGAATGAAGCTTGTTTACAATGACATTATTATGTTGAATATAGACGAGCAGGGTCAGTCTAGAAATGTAGGTCGGACGATGTCGATATCAGACAGATGTACACAAATCAAGTCATGTAATAAAGTCCGTGTGTGATTCCCGCCGCACAACGCAACAACCAGCCTTTATATAGCTCTTACACAGTTCTCGAGCATTCTAGTAAATGTGGGCAGCATCAGTATCCACTCAGATCATTAGGCTATTTTCTCGAACATACGACCGGGAGTAAAAAAAACAAAAAAAACAAGGGAGGCAACTCTGGATCGCTGTCAAAAAGGCGTACTGCTAACAATAGTATTGCCATTGAACATATATGATACAAGATGTGAGCCGCAACCCACACTCAAAACTTTAAACAGTGTGACCCATAATAACTATCACGTAATCAATGATACTACAAATTACAACCAAAAAAACACTCTCGTAACACTTCCTATGTTGTGGAATTAATTTTAAAGATTATTAATCAGAGTGAGTGAGCGAATGAGTGAGTTAAGATTAATATAATTATTAATATAACATTTCAGCCATATCGTCACTAAAGCTAATTCTATATTCATACTTCATACATATAACATATAAAACCCTGTCAACGAAGGACAGTAAAACTACTAGATTATCACAGATAGACTTAAAACTAGCTAGCATTTATCTTTAAAAGTAGAAAATTATTTTCGGACACTACAATGTAAAAATGGGCTATAAATCGCCAACAACTGAAGGTAGATCACCATACTAGGGACCATGGGGACTTACAGTGCCTTTGTTACCTGCTTGGACCCTAGCTGGATTTACACCATCCCCACAGCCACTGGCGATTGTAGGAAAATTTAGCCGAAAATTAAAAAAACAAATATGCTGCATTACAAAAATTCGTATCTTTAAATTTTACTTTGAAAGTTAAAATTATTAAGTGATAATTAACATTAAAAAGATCATTCACTGTTTTGACATTAAAATGTTTATACCTTGTGATGGCAAAATCAATACAGTCAAGCAAGGCATGCTTGACTGTGATTCTTTCATCACAAGGAATACAAAACGGAGCAACTTCACCTTTTAACAAATATTCATGAGTATATCTGGTATGGCCAATGCGACATCGTCGCATAATGGCCTCTTCAAATCTGGACTGACAACCCAAGTAAGTGTAACAGGTATAAGGTTTTATTTCATATAATTTATTGATACCTACTTGGGTGTCCCACTTCTTCTGCATCAGATCACGGATGTAAGTTCTAATGCTAGCTTTGTAATCAGAGTATGGAATAAGAAGTGGTGTCACAGATTTATTGAGTGCTGCCTTGGCAGCAAGATCAGCCATTGTATTCCCAGAAATGCCAACGTGGCTGGTTAACCAACAAAAGACGATGTCGCGTTGGCCAGTAGCAAGTTCATTATACAATTCAATAATTTCTATTAATAGTGGATGTTTACAAGAAAGATTTTTGATAGCCTGAAGACACGAAAGAGAATCGAAAAGATTATGTATTGTTTATATTTGTGTTTATTAATATATTTAAGAGCTATTAATATAGCATTAGCTTCTGCTGTGAAAATAGAGCTAGTATTTGGTAATCGGGAAGATATTGTTCTGGATCCAATGACAGTGGCACAAGCAACCGCGCCCCCATCCTTGGACCTATCTGTAAATAAGCGTTTATACGTATTATATTTACTTTTTAATTGATAATATTCTTGTTTATATTGTAAGTGATTAGTTTCTGATTTTTAAAATTTGGTGAGTGTTGTGTCGACTTGTGGCCTAATGAATTGCCAAGGAGGAGAAAAAAGAAGACGGGAAGGAGATATATTTTCCAGCTCAATGCCGGCAGCAGAAATGAATGATTTAATTCTGAGCCCAAGAGGTAGAACAAGAGAAGACTTTTTGTTGTATAAATCCTCATAAAGAGGATTGAAAACACAGTTAAATGCAGGATTAGACTCATTAGAATAGAGTTTTGTTACATACTGTAATGATAGTTTGATACGACGTTGGTTAAGGGATGGCTCACCTGCCTCAACATAGAGAGTATCAATAGGAGAGGTTCTAAAGGAGGTTCTAAGACAAAGTCTTAGGCCTTGGTGGTGGACAGAATCAAGTAGTGTAAGGTTGCTTTTGCAGGCTCCACCATATACGATGGAGCCATAATCAAGTTTCGAGCGGACCAATGATCGATATCGGTGGAGGAGGGTAGCTTGATCCCCTCCCAACTTTGTGTTGGGAACAACTTTGAACAAATCAAGGGCATTCAGGCATTTAGTTTTAAGGGATTTAATATGCGGCAAAAAAGTTAAATGGGAGTCGAAAATTAGACCCAAGAACTTGGCCTCCTTTACAACTTTGATCGTAGTGCCATTTAAAGATAATTCTGGATCTTTAAGGGGCTTATATTTTCTACAAAAGTGTAGACAATTAGTTTTGGACTTGGAAAATTTAACGCCGTTTTCAAGACACCATTGATTTATTTTATTTAAACACAACCGCAATTGCCGTTCAATAGTATGCATATGTTTACCACAACAAGAAATATTAAAATCATCCACAAAAAATGATCCATCAATTGAATCGTTTAAAACCTTGGATAAACTGTTGATCTTGATACTAAATAAAGTGACAGACAAAATACTGCCTTGAGGGACACCCTGATCCTGATGGTAATGATCAGACAGGGTTGAACCCACTCGGACTTGAAAATGCTTGTCTTTTAAAAACTGTAATATAAAAAGAGGTAAACGACCCCTCAAACCAAAGTCATGTAAATCCTTCAAAATGCCATGCTTCCAGGTCGTATCATAAGCTTTCTCGATATCAAAGAAAATTGATACACCATGTTGTTTATTTACTATAGCATTTTTAACAAAGGATACCATATGATCAATGGTACTACGGTTTTTCCTGAAACCACATTGAATATTTGTGAGAAGGTTATTGGTTTCAAGTTACCATGTTAAACTATTATTTACCATTCGTTCCATGGTTTTACAGACACAACTCGTTAAAGAGATTGGTCTGTAGTTAGACAGATATTAATTAACGAATCCAAATTCTCCAAGTGTAAACTAAAGACTTCTCACTTCTTTGTTCAGGATCACAGATAAGGCATAGTTCGGTATTCGAAAATGAAATAGAAATTGCTAGTCTAATCAATATATCTAATAAGTCTACTGCAGTTGACTGTACTGAGTGAGTGAGTTTAGTTTTACGCCGCACTCAGCAATATTCAAGCTATGTGGCGGTGGTCTGTAAATAATCGAGTCTGGACCAGACAATCCAGTGATCAACAGTATCAGCATCGATCTACGCAATTGGGAACCGATGACATGTGTCAACCAAGTCAGCGAGCCTTACCACCCGATCCTGTTAGTCGCATCTTACGGCAACCGTGGGTTACTGAAGATCAATATTCTAACCCGGACCATCACGGGTCAGTTGATCAGTGCTTGGGCTTCGCGCAAACATTCAATACAAAACAATGGGCTTCTATGTTGGGAATGAAACTGAACCTTTGGTCCGGTTAGTTAACGCTTTAACAACCAGGCTCATCCATAGTTCCCTTAAGCCCAAATGATTGTGATGTTTTATGTCAGAATTATTCCTACCTTGGCACTAAATGCGTTTGAATGATCCTTGGTGATGTCAGTTCCTCCAGCACTTCCTCAGATCTGTGTTCCAGTAAGGTAGAATTTTTCCAGTGTTTGGTGTACTCGGCCTTGCCTGCTACGATCATGTTGAGGATTTCCCAAGTCCAATGAGACCCTGAAATATTGCATTTGGGATAAGTAATTATTTTCCATGTTAATTTGAACATATCAGGAAATGTGAATTTATGTATACATCCATCCATCAGAAACTTGACATGCTGTTTTGAAGTTCATTTACTGAGTGCATTTAACTGATTTAAACATGACATCATTGCTCAATTGCAGTAAAGTCATCACTTTACAAATTTCCAAAACATGAGTGAGTGAGTGAGTTACAATTCATAGTCACTTTGGCAATATTTCAGCCATATCGTGACTAAAACAATTAATACTATATAATTTTAATATATAAAAATCTGTCACCAAAGGACAGTAAAACTACTAGTATATCACAGTAAGACATTTAAAACTAGCATGTAACTTAAAATTATATGCTATTTCGGACATTCCATCATAAAAACGGGTTATAGATCGCCAGAAACTGTCCTTATCCAGAAAGTGTTTGTTAAAAACACAACGGGCTATTGAAGCCACTTGGTCAGAATAAACTGTCGGTATCTGGTGGGACCATCACGATCATCGATAACAGCTTGGCATCGGTGGCCATTAATTGAAAAGGAGATGCCGAATGCTGTCTTCAGGAATGTTTGGATACTCTTGGTGAAGTGCTGCGTGCAGTTCTTGCAGTGCCTGAGGTGGCGGATTACGCTGGAGCAAACGTCGATCAAGATTATCCCACAGATGTTCAATGGGGAAGAAATCGGGTGGTCGAGAAGTCATTGGTAACACCTGAACGTTGCTTTGCTGGAGGAAGTCCTGGCAAACACGTGCAACGTGAGGTAGAACATTGGCATGCTGGAACTATCCATCGTTGACGTTGATGAAGGGAACGATGTGACGTTGCAAAATCTCCTCTCCATAGCGAACAACATTCAATGCACCTGCCACGTGCACAAGAGCTGCCCATTTAACGTCACATCGGCAATATCCCAGCCATATCGTGACGAAAACAATTTATATAATAAGAAGTGAGTGAGTTAAGATTTAACGTCACATCGGCAATATCTCAACCATATCGTTACGAAAATAATTTATACACCAATATAGAAGTCTCAACATTGACAACGAATCTGGTCTACTATATTGGTGAAACATCCCGCCCGCTCCCACTACGAATCAAGGAAACATAAAGCGTCAGTCCAGAAAAACGACTCCAAATCCGCCATAGCTGACCACACCCAAGCCTACCCTGACCATGCCATCCTATGGAACAACATCGATATCCTAGAAATCAACCGACAAGACTACAAAATTAGGAAACTCCTTGAAGCCATAAACATCCAACGCAACAACCCCACCATGAATCGAGATCAAGGTTATTTCATCTCGTCAGTCTATCACCACCTAATCAAAGACCACCACCAGTAATCCTTCCCTACCTCCTTTGTCCATCTGGGTTCCACGCTTCCTCCTTTGTGCTTGTAATCACAACTATTGTACGTCAACTCATCAATTGTATAAACTCAACTCTAATCACAATCAATCACTCTGTACATCAACCTCCTCTGCTGTAATCACTTATCAAATATCCAATGTACATCAACCTTGTTAATTGTATATACTCACTATACAGCTATGTATATATTCTCCTTGATTCAGTTGTTGTATCACTTGCTTGATAACGGTATTAGTACCTACACCGAAACGTCGCACTCATTGCAATAAAGAAGTTGACTATCCATACAAATCAGTTTTCCTTCATCTTCACAACTTCTAAAATGCCTCTCAAAGAAGATAAAACTAGCGAACAAAGTTAAAACAGTCCAATAAAAGAAGACAATACAGTATAAAACACGGGTTATAGATCGCCAGCAACTGAAGGTAGATCACCATATCAGGGACTAATGGAAAACACTGAGTATTATAATTTATCAGAGAGTTCAATGTAATATCTACTCATTACCACTTTATCTTGATGAGTTAGATCAATAAGGGCTTGATGCCACTAAGCCTATTAGATATTTGTTTGTTCCTTCTTTCTGCCACATGTTTTGTACCAGCTGCCAAATATAGGTTTTTGGTCAGTGTATGGGAAAGTACTGCTTGATAGTGACTTCTCAGTGGACGATTTAGATGCGGAATATGCTTTGTAATTTCCCAGAATACCAACGTGACTGGGTAGACAGCAAAAGGATGTCAATATTAGCCACAGAGATATGCAAATGCCATTTCAAAATTTCAACCAAAACAGATGGCCACTTTTGATTGCCTGAAAGTATGATAAATCTAGTTTCCTTGGAACGTTTAAGCTAACATGATATCATTAGCCTCTGCCGTAAAAATGGAAAATTCACCAGCTAACCGTAGTGATAACCAATAACAGCTGCAGCTGTTATTTGTCTCCATTCTTTTATCCATCGATTTGCCTACACCTATTTAACATTTGAAAGTACCTTTAGTATCTCAAGAGCTTTTAAACATCTAAATTGATATGTTACAAATGCACTACCAACAACCATACGACCTCCGGACACACGACATGTATCTTACAGATAAGCAGGGTACATTGCAGCCATAAATATGAGTCCTAGCATGGGGAAGGTTAGATAGCAGTCATTGTGGCTTTGTAACTCACACCGATGTTTGGTGTGAGTGAATGAGTTTTACGCTGCACTCAGCAATATTCCAGCTATATGGCGGCGGTCTGTAAATAGTCGAGTCTGGAGCAGACAATCCAGTGACCAACAGCATGAGCATCGATCTACGCAATAGGGATGCTATGACGCGTGTCAACCAAATCATACGTAAGTCCCAAAACCTTTGAAGTAAATTAACACGTTCCATTTTTTTAATCGTAGAATACCTGGCTAGATTTGCTAAATTGCTAACGGCTGAAGGGATGATGTAAATCCAGCTAGGGTCCATACAGGAAGTAAATGTACTGTAAGTCCCCATGGTTCCTAGAATGGTGATCTACCTTCAGTTGTTGGCGATCTATAGCCAGTTTTTATATTGTATTGTCTAAATAGTGCTATCAGTTTTAACTTTCCACACTAGTTTTAGTTGTAATTGTGATATTCTAGTTGTTTTACTGTCCTTCGTCGACAGTTTTTTTGTATATAATATACATATCTTCCAATTCAATGTCACATATGTTCTCGTCACGATATGGCTGAAATATTGCCGATGTGACGTTAAATATTAACTCACTCACTCACTCACTAAAGTAATTTAGATTTCATTACTAGTTTTAAATATCTATCTGTGATAGTCTAGTTAGTTTTGCTGTCCTTTGTCGACAGATATTTTAAATTGATAACTTTGTTTTCATCGCTATATGGCTGTAATATTGCCGATGCGATGTAAAATTTTAACTCACTCACTCACTCAACCAAGTCAGGGAGCCTGACCAACCGATCCCGTTAGTCGCCTCTTACAAGCATGGGTTGCTGAAGTCTAATTCTAACCCGGATCTGGCCATGCAGGTAGCAGAGGCGAATTTCATCTTAATAACATTTCACTCACTCACTCACTTAGGTAGCAAAGGCACTGTAAGTCCCCATGGTCCCTGGTATGGTGATCTCCCTACAGTTGTTAGCGATCTACAGCCTGTTTTTATATTGTGTCGTCTTCAACAGTTCAACTGTTTTAGATTTAATTACTACTTTCGAATTATTATAAATCTATAATTGATTTAGTCACGATATGTCTGAAATATTGCCGATTTACTCACTCACTCACTCACTAACTAACCCGGATCTTCACGGCTCACGTATAGTATATTGGTGCGTACGAGCTCTACCCCATCGACCTCCGTTCCCCTGGGGTACAAGACGACTACATTCATGATATCCCACCTTCTACTGATACATGGAATCATCACATCTCACCTGACTTTGGATAGGTGCACAGGAAGATATCGTCTTCTCTGATTGGACGGGATTTCATTGTCTTCAGTGCCTCTGCCTCATACAGATAAACTCCTTCTACCTTCACGAGCGGATATGTCCAATTTGCATCCATACATAGGTTTGTGGTGGCCATTGTGATATCCTGCTCGGCTGATACTCCCCCGACACTGGAAACTACTGTAGAGAATGTGTACACTTATTGCTAGAACTTTCCTGCCGTATGCCTGTTCATGCCTAAGTTGCATGACAAATATGATCTCGTCTGGGATAAGATTATATATAATGCACTCATTAATAATGATATGATTGATATTAATGGAACTCTTGTTATGCTAATTGTTATACACAAGTATACAGCTGGAATAGCTAAATTGTGACGGTTTATGTGATAAATACAATGTCTATTAATGGATAGCAAATGCCATTATAATGGTGGGTTGCATTTTAATAAAATGCATAAAATACAGTGAAATAGATTGTGTGGCACAATCTGAATGGCAAATGTCCCACGGGAAAACTTTACAAAAAGGGATATCAAGCTGTTAGGATAATGCACAATTACAGTTTAGTTTCACATACATTACATTACATTATATACATTTATATAGCGCTAATATCCAGTCTTAAGACGACTATTCAAGAGCGCTGTTAAACTCCTTATGCAATGCTGAACAAATGAGTTTTTAATCTGGATTTGAATGTGCTGAACGTCTCTACTGATCGAAGAGAGAGAGGGGTAACGTGTTCCACAAAGTTGGACCGACAAACTGAAAAGACCTTTTCACTTTTCAGTTCCGGCTGACCACTGCCTGGCACATGTGCTCTTGCGATGACGTGTTGGTTGATATTCTTGCGCTCGGTGCCGCGTTGTGCAAGGCTTCGAACATCAGACACAATATTTTGTACTGGATACGTTGCGGATGGGTAACCAGTGCAATGTCATAAGAACAAGTGTTATATGTTCTGTCTTCTTTGTGCGTGTCACAACTCGGGCAGCTGAGGTCTTGACTCTCTGTAACTTGTTCAGGAGATATTCTGGAAACCCCTGAATCAGAGCATTGCAATAGTCCAACCGAGGAATACATATGCTTGCGTCAGTGTTGCTGCAGTTTGCTGGTTGATGCACTTCCTGATTAAGCCAATGTTTCGGATAAGATAGTAGGCATTTTTGCACATGTTATTGACGTGCTTTTCAAAGCTGATAGTGCTGTCAAGTATCACCCAAGATTGCGAGCATGATCAGTGGGTTTAGTGATACACTTAGGACAACCTTTGTCGTGTCGAACTTGAACAGAGAATGAGCTGTTTTGTCTTAACTCAGCTTCAGGAAGTGTCATCCAGTTTTGGACATCAGCAATACAACTTTAAATCGCAGCACAGGCTGCATCACAGGCTGACGACTATACCTACTTGGGTTGTCAGTCAAGACGTGATGAGGTAATTTTACGACGATGTCGTATTGGCCACAGTCGGTTTCCTCATGACTATCTGCTGAAAACGGATGGGGATGGACCCCCATGTGTGTCTCTTGCGATGAGGTTTTCACCATCAAGCATATTCTGCTTGAATGCGTGGACTAATCGTCTGCAAGGGACTCACATTATGATGCAAGAAACCTGAAAGATCTGTTCTCCCGCGTGAGCGCTCATCTGATAGTGAATTACCTGAGGGAAGTTGATCTGTATCATAAATTGTAACTGTGAAATGTGACTAACAAATTGCCTGCCTTTAAATTTGGTGCTTTGACTTTTTCTGCTTTAAATGACAATGTAATGAATATATGTTTTTGAAATAAAACTCATTCCGAGTATGTACCTACAATGTTTATTAATGCAAACTTGTTCTCGTCACTATATGGCTGGAATAATGCCGATGTGACGCAAAACCCAACTCAACTCAACTCAACGACTGCAGAGGCTTGGAGTTGTGTATCATCTGCGAACAAGTGAAAATCAAGGTTATGTGATCGGGCTATGTCTCCAAGTGGTTAGGTATAAATGACAAACAGAATTGGACCGAGGACACACCCTTGAGACACTCCAAAGTGAAGTTCTTCCTTCTCCGAATCTGTTCCACGAATACTCACTGACGGATGTCGGTTTCATAAGCAGGACCTGATCCATTTCAGCGTTAGACCAGTTACCCTGATCCTACGTTCAAGGATGGAGACTAAGATGCCGTGGGCGACCATGTTAAACGCAGCGGATAGGTCCAGTAAGACTAGGATGACTCCTACTGTAGAATCGGTGTTTAGGTGCTGTTCCCTTGACAATATGCAGATTGCATAACTTCAAACACGTAGTTTGATTCCATGTGCTCTTTGAGGTGTGATGCAACAACTCGCTCCATGAGTTTTGAGGAACACGACAGGCTGGATACTGGCCTGTTGTTTTTCATCATCTCAGAGTCAAACTGGCCCTTTATAAGAGTGAGTGAGTGAGTTTGATTTTACGCCGCTTTTAGCAAATTTTCCAGCAATATAACGGCGGGGGACACCAGAAATGGGCTTCACACGTTATGCCCATGTGGGGAATCGAACCCGCGTCTTCGGCATGACGAGCGAACGCTGTAACCACTAGGCTACCCCACCGTCACAGCCCCTTTATAAGAGAGACAAGATCTTCTTTCATTGACTACTGCACAGATCCTTCTGAAAGACCTGTTTATTTGTGTGCGTATTGTTTCACATTGAAAAAAAACCCATATCATTTTGAAAGATTTCTGCTGTTGCAGAGAGGAGGAATTTTCCACTAATAATATTAAGGCTATATGGAATCTGTGTGGATGCCGATAATATATTTCTCCATGTGATATTACCAATATCATTTTGTGGTTTCAAAGTACAATCTTTCAAAATTGAAATGTTCCGTTTGTGTTAATGTGTAAACATATCGTGTGGACGGGTTTGGCATGAGCAGCAAATTGATAGAACTGGGACCATTTTACCAGTAAGGGTCAAAGTAGTGTGATGGGGAATAGGAACACGGTTCACAGCTCGTTTGCCCTGGCAACTACCAGAATCCCTTTCTCCACCAATACAGTGGCGCAACCCACGGCAAACAGGGTGCAAATTTATATATCACACTTTTTAACGGACAGGCAATTTCCAATCCTGAAGGGGTCTACCCTGTTTGATCAATACAGCCAGGATAAGGGTATTGAAAAAGGTATAATTTTGTCTGTCACGTTGTTTAGCATTAAAACACATAGGCTTTAACTGATTCAGTGATTGGGTCTTATCTTTTACTCTCATTTAACTTTCATGCCACATATAAAATACATTAAAGCTAAATGACAGAAGGTACTTGATTTGTTGAAAGTCATTTCTAATTCAAAGTGTCGAGGACATCAAAGAACCCTCCTATACTTATAAAGGTCATTGATCCGGTAAAAACTTGATTACGTCTCCATCGTATATGGTATGGTGGAGCATGTAAAGGTTATTTACAAAAACTGGACACTATCCATCATCAAGCTCTGAGGCTTTTGCTTTGACTGTGGGGATGGTGTAAATCTAGCTAGGGTCCGTGCAGGTAGCGCAAGTACGGTAGGTCCCTATGGTCTTTAGTGTGGTGATCTACTTTCAGTGACTGGCGTTCTATAGACCATTTTTATATGGTTCTCTGTAGTGGTATCATTTTATGATTACATGCTAGCTTTAAATGTTCATCTGTGATAGTATTGCTATTTTATTGTCTTTCGATGACAGGTATTTGACAGGTAAATGTCATGAAAGGCCAATCATTTTTGTTTTAAATCTATAAAATGAAACTTGAAGTCTTTGCCTCATATTACAAACATTATATATGGTCACTTAGTCACCCAATTTGGCACTCACTCTATTCAGGTTTGTGTTATATTTAAACCCCTGGAGTTAGTTTTCTAAGTCATTTTTGTATACGTTTTCAAAAGTAATCATTGTGCAAGAATTGTGGTTGCTTGTTACTGGGTTCAGCACTCTGTGTGTGTGTGTGTGTGTGTGTGTGTGTGTGTGTGTGTGTGTGTGTGTGTGTGTGTGTGTGTGTGTGTGTGTGTGTGTGTGTGTGTGTCCTGTCTGAGGGTGAAAATGAAAGCTAGGCAAACAATCTTACAGTAAGGGTCAATAGAAATCGTCCTGAAGAAGTTGGAAAAACTGTTGTGTCATCAGTAAGTTCAACAACTTTAGCCGTCAGTACAGGCATCCCAAACATCCCGACATGTGTTCCACGTTCTCATGCAAGAGTGAGTGAGTGAGTTAAAACTTCACGTCACATCGGCAATATTGCAGCCACATCGTGACGAGAACAGTTTATATCAATATTCACATCAATAAATGTATAACGTAAAAACCTGTCATCGAAGGACAGTAAAAATACTAGAGTATCACAGCTATATAAATTTAAAACTAGTACGCTATCGTAAAATTAAATCATTATAGACAGTACAAAATAGAAACGGGCTATAGATCACCAACAACTGAAGGTAGATCACCATACTAGGGACCATGGGGACTTACAGTACCTTTGCTACCTGCATGGACCCTAGTGGGATTTACACCATCCCTTCATCCATTGGTGATTGAAGACAAATCTAGCCATAAAGTAAAAACACACATATTCTACGATCAAAAAGTGTCAAGTTTAAATTTACCTTAAATGTGTTCGGACTTACGTACCCTCTCAGGAGGACAATAATTTTACAATGCTTCAACCCCCTTTGAGGGTACAGCCACTAATCGAAGTTGATAATCTAAACTACCAGTTATAAAACCTTATCTATTTACAAAACATAGGTCGAAATTCATTTAACCAATATATCTCTTTTAAAAAACCAAGAATGAAATGAAAATGAGCAGTATTAAAAAGATCCTTAACAGTTTTAACATTGAAATATTTATCTCTTATGATGGTCTAATGCAAGAATATGAATAGCAATTGTTATGAAAGGTCATAAAAGGCCCCACAATGTCATAAAATGATACGTGCAGACTTTGCTCCATATCACAAACATTATATGTTGTCACGTTTTCACAAAAGTTGTCAATGAGTGTAATCAAGATTTTGTTATCTTTGAGTTATTGCTCGAACTCAGGTTTGTGTAACTTTTGAAAAGTAACAATTGTGCCAGATGTGTCGTTGGTCACTGGTTCCAGCATTGTTTTCACAAATGTGTTGATATGTCCTGTCTGAGGGTGACAATGAAGGTCATGACCCGTCCGTTCTCATTAAATCGAACAAAATGTAATAGCACATGACATTTATTATCCATACAGTGTTTTTAGCTACGGTGACAAACACCTTACACACATAGAATAGGAAGGTGACATCCATTTATTTGTTTGCCAGAAAACCAATTGTGTTTATGAACAATCAGTCTCTGTTAGTTACCAACTTTTACCATGCTAACATAGAAACAATGGCGCTTTGGGGGCTTGTGGAGGTTGTAACAATCAGATGTTGTGCGTCGTTGGAAGATCTTCCTTATCTTACAAATGTCGCGTGTGCTGAATATATTACCAGGGCGTTGTTAGTTTTCTATACTGGACATCCACAGTAAGGATGTTTCTTCATCTCCAGTTCGTATTGTCGATCAAATTCGTCACTCTGTGCCACAGTGAACCAGTTCTTCCAGTCGCCAGGTTGCCCTGTAACATGTCATTGTATTAAGATCTGATCCTTGCATTAGTTTCTACAAAGGAATTCGATCTGTAAGAGCGACCGTTGTATTCTGGTCCCGTTATCGTTGAGAGTACAAATAATTACAAGGTTGTCCTGTGATGAAGGCTGATCTACTTCCTCTTTGAGCTGATCAGAATCATTGGCCAGGTATGTTCATTTTAGGTGCTAAATCTACTCAGGGCAATTTCTCAAACATATATACTCTGAAAATAGATTTTCTATGCTTCATTTACTGACAATGTGTACATAAGCTACCAACAGCACCCACTCAACGAGCAGTAAGGTTACAATTGTCGTTCGTATCTGAAACACCCACCTTTCCTGAAAAACCCACTTGATCCGTCTATCCAATGGTTGTGGTAGGTCTGATCTTTGTTATTCTCACATGCAGTTTTGAGATTCTCAAATGAGCAAGCATCCGCTATGTCCTGGTACGTTGTTTCAGAAAGGGGGCAATCGAGATACTCCGCTATCTGTTTTACTTGAGCCACACAATCCTTAAAGAGAACGCATATGGACGTAGAGCAAAAAAGGTGCAGCTACACGAATGTAAACAAATGTGGGCAATAATACTATAATGTACATTATGCAAGATTATTGTGTCAATAATCCTAAACATGTATGCATGATGTCTTTGACTTTGCAAGATTTAGACAAAATGATCTGGAAGAGGCTAAACGGACCTTATTCCAGAATCAACTGCGTTAGTGTACCATGTGTTATATTTAGGATTACACTTTTTTAGTAAAGTACAGGTTGTTGTAACTATGTTGGGTTGAGTTCCATCCGGGAATTGAATCCACCCCTTCAGACTCAGGCACCTAATGGCCAGCACACATTTGACCACTTTCTAAATGACATTGTGTATTGTGTAGGCTTTTCTAGAATTTTGTTGTAGATAAGGGGAGATAGGAATTACATCGGGATACCAGCATTAGGTGAGATGACCATATCCCCCCTAACCCTGGTTGCAAGTTGGACTACTGATACTGAGGGGTGCATATTAGTTATGTTGTAACTACGAGTGTTAATTACATCACATAGTCTTGCTCCTTGCCAGCTGCAGTTTTTAACAAGGTTCTTTTTTTATTTTCAACTTGGGAATCAACACGTAAAGTAGTTAAGTATTGGTAAACGTGGCAGTTCTCCCCTACTTCTCCACTATGGACATGATGTTGCTGCCACATGATACAATATGGTCACGATATTGCACTGCTCTCAGTGTGAAACAGTCACACGTTATATTATGGAAACAACAATGCACAGCTTCTTCTCAACACAGTCACATGTTACATTATGGACGAAACGCTGTACTCCTCCTAATTCAAGTCACATGTTATCTAGTTGAAGCAAGATTGGACTGCTACAATGGCCTTTTATTATGCATGTAAATTTAGTCTGCAAAGATCTGAGGAAGCCTCGACGTCACATTAAGCACGATATCAGACTATAGAGCCAGGATACTAAACGGACGGGCAAAAGAACGTTATCACTTTAAAAATAATTATATAAAAAGCAAAAACCAAAAAAATAAAGCTACTACAGGTTTAAATCCGCAACCCGCAAAATGGTTCCGATAGCAAAGCAGCTGATGTTAAATTTTGCTATTTTTCAAAACGTGACAAAAAGTAATTGTGGGATATTGGTCCGAAGTAATTCAGGGATATTGGTCCAAATGCACTTGCATGAATGTGGCATAAATTGGTATGGCCAATATGGGGGCTTCCAACGTCAGCTGGTTAGAACCTTCACCAGCAGCTAGGCCACCATCAGAAAATTGATAAACCGCGACCAGCAAACAGGTCAGACCCAAGACCGCCCAAGATCGTGAAGACCGAGCGTCATGACACCGGCCAAATACAGCTTCATCCAGCAGATCCACTCCGTAACAGATCCACTCCGACAGCACTAGGATACACCATCAGGAGACGAACAATCATTCGACGACTTGGTATGACTCGTATTCTAGTTAACTGCCCCTTCCGTGAAATGGCCTAGATCTGTCTACACCATCAACAGAGACAAACGTGCAATGGGCACGAACTATACGTCGGTGGCAGCGACGTCAATGGGAGACTGTGCTCTTTTCAGATGAAATTCTGTTCAGTCTGCTCAGAAACGATTGCAGAGTTCGAGTTCTACGACGAACAGGAGAGCAACTAGTGCCAAATTGTGTTCAAGAAGTTCTTTCGATGGAGGATACGTCGTGGTATGGGGCAGCATTTGTAGCCAGGTTATAATCCTATGACATCTGAATGCCTAGTGATGTCACAGGAATGGAATGTTGAGACTTTTGTAGTGCTCTTTAGTCGCCAACAGCCAAGAGGAGTCATTTTCCAGCCTGGCAATGCAAGGCCTCCCAACGCCAGAATACCTGAACAATGTTAACGTCAACGTATTGCTTTGGCCAGTGTGTTCTCCAATCATGAACCCGATTGAACATATCTGGGATCATCTTGTCAGCTGGGACAGCGTGTACCAACTCCAGCGAACCGACATTAACTTGAACAGGCTCTTTTGGACTTATGGAACAGCTTTCCTGCTGAAGTCATATGCCAACTGACGACGTGTGTTGACGTGTATGGATTCCCAGTGTGGTCTCATTCGCTACTGATTACGTGTTCCCTGACTTATGCAGTTGTTAATTTTGACTCCTTGAATTATCATAAATCTCAAATACATCTTTGTTTCTATTTGTGTTCAAGTGAAGTTGGTGATAACTTTCTTTTGCCCGGAAGCTTAAACGTCTAGATGTAATACAGTTAAGCATTTTCAAAACACCTGACTAATTGTCTTGGTCCTGTAACATTTTACCTGCTTCATGTCTTCGTACTGCACATAGCATATTTCACATCCTTTCTGCATTGCAGAAACGTTTCCCCATTTCTGAACATGGTGAAATATCGAACCATAAGGAACTGAAACATACCAAAAATAATCAAAGCCCTTGGAATTGGACACCAGGACCATGAGCAGCAATGCACCTGGTGCACCTTCCACAGTCAACAGTATCGCCATTTGGTACATTTTTCTATTTCACAGGGACTAGCAGCCAGGATGACAACAGCAATTCAACCTTGTTCCACTGACTGCCTTACCCCAAAAACCAGCATGAGCATCTGCAACCTGCCCCATTGCTGTACCATGCGTCCAGCTCTTGACCATTCTGGGGTTGACTTTTCCAAGAGCATCCCACACGCGTTTGATGGGATTGAGGTCAGATGATCTCGATGGCCACGCCATGACGTCAATACCAGGAGATGTTATGTCAATACAACTGTGTGTGATGTCACATTGTTTTGGTGGAATTGGTCTGGGCCATCAACAGCACCAGTTCTGGAACAAGGACCTGTTCACAATATCCCGTTGAGGTTCCCACGAATTATGAGACGATGCCAGCTAAGGTTCCTGCGGAATACTCACCAAACCATTATGCGATCGCCACAAAAGTAATGCATGCAGCTCAGGGCATGACGGATCGCTCCGACTACCCATTCGCACTCTTCTGTCAGCAGAACCGTAGCGTTAAACCTGTTGTATCTGATTCAAGCGCAGGTGCAGTTAAGCCCAGCATAGGCGTTCATTACAGTGTACCTGTCTTAGAATCGGCCAAACATAAGGACGTCAGGCATGAAGATGGGCAGCGCCCAAGCAGTTTTGTATGGCTGGGCCAGTTCCACGACGCCTAAACAGTGCGTTACTGGTTGACGTAGTGTTCGTAATACGATTACGCAAATGACATTCGATTTTCCTAAGCATTTGAATGTGACGTCACAGCCGGCCGTACTAACCTGAAGCAATCTGATGTCGTACCCTTGCTTTGAACGAGCACGACGTCGTGTCCTCGGTTTGTAACGTGTCCGTCTATTGTACCCCACGTGTAACAGTCATAGTAGTCTGGCTAGCCTGGAGAATGCCAAGTGCACTCCCGTTGACGTTCAACATTTGCAAGCCGTGGCATGAGAGTCGTATGTATCACAAGGGTTGTTAACGTATGTTTTTCCTAATCCCCAGCACACGTGTTCAAGGTTAGACACATGACTCGTGAGTGGTCGAGTTTTCACACAGTTGAAATGGGCGGATGAGACCTGTCGATTGTGGTATTCGTCCATATTAAGAACCATGTACTACCCCTTATCAATATAATTTATTCATCCAGATGTGAAGGATTTTTTCGCTCAGTTTACTTAACAATAATATTGATACATTCACCCACAAATCAACGCCACCACCACACCCCTTTCAATGTTTTGTAAGTTTATCAGGTAATATGTTCAAGCCATCAATCTATTATATTTTTATGACATATACCATGACTAATGATTCCCACAAGTAGTAAAGGTTTTAGTGACATTCTCTTCAGTAGCATCACTGTTCTGATCCCCATTCATAACACGCTGAATTATTACTGAAACAGAATAAACATCCCGTCTTCAAAAGGAGTCAAATGACCCATCAGTGTCATTTGCACCATTCAACTGAATGTGAAGATGAAAATGTTCATACCACAACCTGGTATGAAGAGCATCAGGAACTCGTCCCAGGAGCCAGTGAAGGACACCTGCTTTGAGGGGCTGTCCTCAAATACTTGTTGGCTCATCTGACAAAAGTACGACACCGCACAGTCTTTGGGATTCCTCTGGACGTACACAACCTTGCACCTGCGTTCCCATAGCATCTCTGGCATCTGTCTATGAATACCATAAACATGTAACATTAAAAATGTCCTTGACGTATAGTTTGAGTACAGTTGTTAAAAAAAAAATAACATCTACTTTCCCTCTGCATAACTCTGAAACATTCAACACTAGAAAATTGGTTTCTATGCTGGGAATGGATCTGACCTTTGTGTGATTAACTAACGCTTTAACAACTAGGCTCATACATGGCTTCCTTACTTTTCATATGTCTTTGCCATGTCACAATTATCCCCACCTTGGCAATAAATGGGTATAGATGATCCTTGGTGATCTTAGTTCCTCCAGTCCTTCCTCGGTCCTGGATTCCAGTGCAGCCGAATTTTTCCATTGTTTGGCATATTCGGCCTTGCCTGCTACGATCATATTGAGGATTTCCCAAGTCCAATGAGTTCCTGGAATATTAAATTGGGGCAAATAATTCGTTTCTAAGAAAATCAGCAATACACGCACACATGCACCTATATGGAAGTACCACAACCCATTCGATCTACCATTGGAATTCCAAAATACGGACTTTAGGTGCTGGGAGACGACAGTAAATAAATCTTTCGCCCCAGATCTGTTACTTTCGAAAAATGCGGTAAAGAAGCGAGCCAGCATCTACTGTACAAAATTGATATCTTACAAATGCACTGCCAACAGACATAACACATTGTCTTGTATTAGTGTGTACGGGTGCAGCAATTGCCCACCGTTCCCATGGTGTACAAGACGACTAAATTCATGATACCCTACCTTCTACCGATACAAGGAATACCTCATCATATCTCACCTGATTTAGGATAAGTGCACAGGAAGATGTCATCTTCCCTGATTTGACGGGATTTCATTGTCTTTAGCGCCTCCGCCTCAAACAGGTAAACTCCGTCTATCTTCACCAGCGGATATGTCCATCTGGCATCCATACATAGGTCTGTAGTGGCCATCATCGATATCCAGCTTGGCAAATGCTCCAGCGGCACTGTAACCTACTTTGGAGCCTTTGTGCACCTACCGCTAGAACCTCCCTGTCCGTATTCCTGTTGGTGGTGTATTATGTTCATTGTGTGGATGCTACTATGCTGTTCATTGTATTTATACATATAATACATTCATTAATAACGATAATGTTATGATTTGTACTGACTGAAATCAGGCAATGCTCAATATTATACACGGAACTACAGTTCGAATAGCCTTTATTGTGATATTTTATGTGAGAATATATATATATGTGTGTGTGTGTTTGTGATTTGTGGTGTAACATCGTGTTTCTATGGTTCATTTTCCCTTAGCTAAGGCTAGTTGCCCATCAATATATTTACAACAGAATAACGTAGTCGTCTGAACGTTGGACATGACCAGCCCCCATCTAAAGCAGACATGTGCAGACAGACACAACTGGAAATACAGGGACATCTGTGCCAATTTCGGTTACAAATCTGTAATAAATCTATTCTGACAATAATACAAGAGTGATGTTTACAAATATTTGCATTTCGAAAATGTGTCTGACCTACAGATCATGCAAATTTATAACCCAAAATAGGACTTATAATGGTATTTCCATGATGCTCTTAAGATGACCATGTCTGATATTTTTCATAACAATGTTTGAAAAAAATATTATGTGCGAGAAGTCAAAAGGAACCAATATTAAAACTCGGCTTGTTTTGTTCCTTCAAATCTTCGAAACAGTCAACTGTTCTAAACTAGATTTTGCAAAATATTCCATGATGTTTAAAGGTATTGTTTACATATGAATTGATGTATTGTAAGACAAATTCGTAACGTTGAAAAGATTGTCTGACAGTGGGACATGACGTGGACATACGTCTTCACACGGCCTGCCAGTGGGACATCAAGCCCTAGCATGAGGACATGCGTGAACATATTTCACAACATGTTATTGAAATGCTTAAATGTTATGCAAGAACATATTTAATAATGCGTCTACGATCGGGTCTGCTGTCAATCGAGTGTAGTGATGCAGTGGTCTCATAACTCAGTAACACACTTTGTACAATACCATATAGTTTATACCGGATTCATGCACAAAACGAACATTCCAAACAATATGATATTTTTCACACAGGTTGTTGCATGACCATCTAACCAAGATATATGGACATATTTAACCCACTTGATATCAATTCGTCGTTTGTTGTAGTAAGTTGAAGTCACCCTCAGTCAGAGTCTTACTCCCGAAAAACGGCAGAATATTCCTGCCCACCAGTCTGTCTGTCAAGCAACCACATCCTGTACAAGTGAAAGAGGAGCAACACTGCACAGTGGAAAAAAGGGAACAAAGATAGCCACAAATTGCAGGACATTATGCAGTCTCATGTTCCATTGCATGTTCCTTGCAGGTTGTGTTAGACAGCTAAAGTAGGTCAGCGTCATTTCTCCTTTGTGCAGTACACTTATGTGTCACCCTGACTTTAACAGGCCGATAGTTTGTTATCTTTACCAAATTGGACAATCCGCTTTAGCCACGTGTTACTCATGAACAAATATTTAAAAAGCCCTTCTTTGAGGCGTCACAACTCAGTCAATTTGCCCTACCTCTACATTCAGGATTAAATCTCGAAACAGTCAAGATTACACTTATTATCATCACTATTTGATACTTATATATGAACACTCGACCATCATACAGTCGAAATTTGTTCAGTCGACTTTGCTGTTTGAATACATGTTTTGAAAAGGGAAAGGGCCATTCCCACATATCTGAGTAGGACATCGATATACATGGTAACATCGAAGATTGATTTCGCCACTAACTTGAGGGAACCAACTGCAAACCGTATGCAGGTGAATTGCACGAGGACCATGCATCAAATTCCTGAAACGCATGTGCAAATATCGTGCATGTGAACAGGTGCGTTTTGGTGTAAACTTTTGTTAAAAATTAGCCAATTTTCACCATGTATTGTTGTTCTGCTCAGTTTTTTTATTTATTGAGGATTGTATGCCAGAAAGATATTTCTTGAACTCATGATTACAAATTTGTTTTACAATACATCAGTTCATGTGTAAACAGTACCTTTAAACAGTATGGAATAGTTTGCAAATCTTTGTTAAGAAAAGTTGCCTGAGGTAAGTGGCTATATTTACACTAGTGAGTCTAAACCTTTGATAGGAAGTATATATTACAATTTGTAAATTACGTTAACACATATGGTGAAGAAAAATCGTATTTTGGGAAATGTGTACTTTATTTCACAATACATGTGTTTCTTTTCTAAGAATGCCAAATGTAATACTTACGGACCAATAATCTAATGCAGAACCCATACAAAAACTGACGGTGCCGTGACCTTAATTAACAATTCATGGCAAATCGACTAAATCCAACAAAATATACTAGCGTAGAACATTTATTGTCCATTTTAGCTGAGGTGACAAACACCTTACATACATACGAAACGAATGCGACACCCTTTTCTTTGTTTGCCAGAAAACAACACTTGTTTATGTTTTTGTGTGTTAGTTTCTCAGTCACCAACTTTTACCATAGAAACAATGACGTTTTGGTGACTTGTGGAGGTTGTAACAATCAGA